CCTGGGATGTGGCCCCAGGGACCCCCCCTGACGTCCCCCCTGTCCCCCCCCCAGCAACAACATGCTGTACCCCAAGGAGGACAAGGAGAACCGCATCCTGCTCTACGCCGTGAGTGCCCCCCCCACTGGGACCAGTGCTGGGGGCGTACTGGGACCAGTCCCACCCTCACAGCCCCAGTTTGGCACTGGGACCAGTCCTGGGGGCATACTGGGACCAGTCCCACCATGGTACAGGCTGTGCCCACCCTCACAGCCCCCACTGGGGCACTGGGACCAGTGCTGGGGGCGTACTGGGACCAGTCCCACCATGATAGCAGGCTCTGTCCCACCCAGTTTGGCACTGGGGCATACTGGGACCAGTCCCACCCTCATAATGGGCTCTGCCCACCCTCACAGCCCCAGTTTGGGACTGGGACCAGTCCCAGCACCCGATGGGGCCATTCTCCCCGTCCCAGTTTGGCACTGGGACCAGTTTCGGGGCCATACTGGGACCAGTCCCACCATGGTACAGGCTGTGCCCACCCTCACAGCCCCCACTGGGGCACTGGGACCAGTTCTGGGGGCATACTGGGACCAGTCCCACCCTCATAATGAGCTCTGTCCACCCTCACAGCCCCAGTTTGGTCCTGGGACCAGTTCTGGGGATGTACTGGGACCAGTCCCACCCTCATAATGGGCTCTGCCCACCCTCACAGCCCCAGTTTGGGACTGGGACCAGTCCCAGCACCCGATGGGGCCGTTCTCCCCGTCCCAGTTTGGGACTGGTCCCAGTCCGTGACCCCTCTCCCCCAGTGCCGTAACTGCGATTACCAGCAAGAGGCCGACAACAGCTGCATCTACGTCAACAAGATCACCCACGAAGTGGAGTGAGTTCGTTAGCGCTAACGAGTTCGTTACCCCTCTTCCTACCTGAGGGGGGGGGAAGCAATTAAAAAGATGGGGTGGGCTAATTAATAAGGGGCTAATTAGCAAAGGAGGAATCAACTAATAGGGGGAGCGGGAGGGGGTGAGGGATTAATAAGGGAAGATGAGCAAAAGGCAAGGAATGGGGGCAATTAATAGGAGCAATAATAATAATAAGGGAGAGCAGTTATATTAATAATTAGTTAATTAAGTTCTACTTAATAATTAGTAAAAAGATAATTGAGGTAGTTAATAAGTGATTGAGGAGTAATTAATAAAGGGTGTCAATGAGGAGAACAATCAAAAGTACTTAATGTGGGGGTAATAAGGGGGATAATTATTAAGGGGGGGAACTAATCAGGGTAATTAATAGCCCGGGGGGGTAATTAAGGCTGATTAACGCCCCCGGTTGCTCTCCCCGCAGCGAGCTCACCCAGATCATCGCCGACGTCTCGCAGGACCCCACGCTGCCCCGCTGGGGGCATACTGGGACCAGTCCCACCATGGTACAGGCTGTGCCCACCCTCACAGCCCCCACTGGGGCACTGGGACCAGTGCTGGGGGCGTACTGGGACCAGTCCCACCCTCACAGCCCCAGTTTGGCACTGGGACCAGTCCTGGGGGCATACTGGGACCAGTCCCACCATGGTACAGGCTGTGCCCACCCTCACAGCCCCCACTGGGGCACTGGGACCAGTGCTGGGGGCGTACTGGGACCAGTCCCACCATGATAGCAGGCTCTGTCCCACCCAGTTTGGCACTGGGGCATACTGGGACCAGTCCCACCCTCATAATGGGCTCTACCCACCCTCACAGCCCCAGTTTGGGACTGGGACCAGTCCCAGCACCCGATGGGGCCGTTCTCCCCGTCCCAGTTTGGGACTGGGACCAGTCCCAGCACCCGATGGGGCCATTCTCCCCGTCCCAGTTTGGCACTGGGACCAGTTTCGGGGCCATACTGGGACCAGTCCCACCATGGTACAGGCTGTGCCCACCATCACAGCCCCCACTGGGGCACTGGGACCAGTTCTGGGGGCATACTGGGACCAGTCCCACCCTCATAATGAGCTCTGTCCACCCTCACAGCCCCAGTTTGGTCCTGGGACCAGTTCTGGGGATGTACTGGGACCAGTCCCACCCTCATAATGGGCTCTGCCCACCCTCACAGCCCCAGTTTGGGACTGGGACCAGTCCCAGCACCCGATGGGGCCGTTCTCCCCGTCCCAGTTTGGGACTGGTCCCAGTCCGTGACCCCTCTCCCCCAGTGCCGTAACTGCGATTACCAGCAAGAGGCCGACAACAGCTGCATCTACGTCAACAAGATCACCCACGAAGTGGAGTGAGTTCGTTAGCGCTAACGAGTTCGTTACCCCTCTTCCTACCTGAGGGGGGGGGAAGCAATTAAAAAGATGGGGTGGGCTAATTAATAAGGGGCTAATTAGCAAAGGAGGAATCAACTAATAGGGGGAGCGGGAGGGGGTGAGGGATTAATAAGGGAAGATGAGCAAAAGGCAAGGAATGGGGGCAATTAATAGGAGCAATAATAATAATAAGGGAGAGCAGTTATATTAATAATTAGTTAATTAAGTTCTACTTAATAATTAGTAAAAAGATAATTGAGGTAGTTAATAAGTGATTGAGGAGTAATTAATAAAGGGTGTCAATGAGGAGAACAATCAAAAGTACTTAATGTGGGGGTAATAAGGGGGATAATTATTAAGGGGGGGAACTAATCAGGGTAATTAATAGCCCGGGGGGGTAATTAAGGCTGATTAACGCCCCCGGTTGCTCTCCCCGCAGCGAGCTCACCCAGATCATCGCCGACGTCTCGCAGGACCCCACGCTGCCCCGCACCGAGGACCACCCCTGCC